GTTACTTTGGAAGTATGAGTGGAGTGTCTGAGTGGAGATGACTACCAGGCTATGGGGAAATTGGTTCCGGGTGTGACCACCGGGCTGTGGGGAAATTGGTTCCGGGTGTGACCACCGGGCTGTGGGGAAATTGTTTCCAGGTGTGACCACCGGGCTCTGGAGAAATTGGTTCTGGGTGTGCTTTCCCTGCATGCCCAGGATAAGGGCTCTTGCTTCAGGTTAGCTTCTGCTCCATCCCAATGTAAGCAGAAAAGTTGAGTAGGATTGAGATTTTAGATTTAGGAGTTCATAACTTTGTTAGCTAAAGCCTAGATGAGGTCGAGTATATTCAAAAGAGTATATAGAAGAAGAAGAGAGTCATAGGTGGAAACTTGGGAACACCTTCGTTAAAAGGGCAGTTAGAACAGTAAGATCACAGCTTAATTGCTGGACGGACACTGAAGTCATAAAACTAATGAGACGATTTTAATTTTTTAGGGTAAGATTTGTGACGGAGGCATATACTGGGTACTCTGATAACCTGGAGGAAGCAAGAGCCCTTACGCTGGGCATGCAGGGAAAGCACACCCAGAGATGTGCTGTGAGGGAGCGTAGGGGCGTATTTCAGCTGGTGGGGGCAGCAGGGGCATGAGGTACAGTGAGCCTGGTAGACGAGGCAGGTATAATCATTAACAGGGCATCAAGTGCAAGACTGAGAACAGTGGGGCAAGGTGCCAGGCTAATGTTGCATGCCAGGAAACTTTGATTTTACCCCAAGGGTGGCAAGCTCCTTCTGAAGAGCTGAGTTAGATGGCCAGGTTTGCATCCTGTGTCGTTCTGGGGACAGTGTAGAGTATGGCTTTGAGAATATCCAAGTTAGAAGCCAGAAGACTGATAAAAAGGGTGTTGAAGTTGTCCAGACAAGAGAAGTGGGATGAACTAGGGAGTAGGGAAGAGAGAACACAGCAGGTTAGAGTAATATTTAGAGGTAAACTCTGAAGCACTTTATGGTCATCTGGTGGCTGAATAAATGTGGTAGAAGGAGAAGGAACCAGAACAGCTCCCGGGATTGCTGGTGAAGAGCATTGTCACACCCTTGATTTGGATGATATAAGAGGCGATGCAAGTTTGGAAAGAGAGAATGGGTTCCATTTTGGATATGTTAAGTTTTGGTGTCTGTGATATCCAGGTGGATATATTTAGAAGAAGTTGGAAATGTGTGTTTAATTTCAGGAGGGAAGTCAGGGCTCATGTATTCGTGTGTATGTCCTAGTTTGTGCTGCGAAGGCATTGAAAATAGTGCTACAGGAGGTTGGGCCCAGTGGCTCATGTCTGTAATCCTAGCATTCTGAGAAGCCAATGTGAGTGGATCACCTGAGTTCCGGAGTTCAAGACCAGCCTGAGTCAGAATGAGTCTCTGTCTCTAAAAGTTTCTGGGCATTGTGGAGGGTACCTGTAGTCCCAGTTACTCAGGAGGCTGAGGCAGGAGGATCACTTGAACCCAAGAGTTTGAGGTTGCTGTGAGCTATGACGCCACAACATTCTACCGAGGGCAACATAGTGAAACTTTGTCTCAAAAAAAAAAAAAAATGTGCTTGAGGACTGTGTAGGGTAAGCAGTGGGTTGCATTTTGGAGTGTGGGACAGTTGAAATAGAGAAGCCCAGGGGAGGCTATGTAGGCTTTAGGAATTCATAGCACAGTCCTGTGAAATGCACAGAGTCCCTGGAATTTGAACCCTGGAAAGAACCTGTTGGTAAGGCGAGGAGCAGCTTAGGTATTCATAGGGCAGTCATGTGAAATGCACCAAAGTAGGGAGAACCCGACAAGGGAAGGGATTTAGACTATATGAAGGGAGGAATGGCAGTGGGAAAAACATCATTAAGGTGGAGATGAATTTATATGCCAGAGAGGAGACTGAGAGTTTTCAGGCCTGGGGATTTTCTTTTTGAAATAAAAAACATGGTCATCTGGCCAGAGTAGGAGTAGGTAAGTTCGGTTAGAGGGGCCCTAAGGAAGGTGGCAAACGCTAAAATGAACCATGTGGAAGGAGAATGGTGGAAGTTGCAGGGGCCGGCTTTGAAAATGTTGGCACTGCACTTAGCATTTAGCAGAGGAATGCATCTCTTCTGTCAGGTTGAGAAAATCCATCTCTTTGTGCCAGCTCAGGCTGAGGTTGAATGTTATGTTAGAGGCCTGATGTCACCTGCGTTGGGGCTGGACCTTATCTCAAGTTCCACACGGAGCTTAGGTGAAAGATTTTATATGTACCTGTTGTTTTCTTTGTGTAATCCCCCACTATCCTGGGTTTGTAGCAGAGTATACCTTTTAAAGTAGTTAAGAACAATAGATGTCAAACTTAGATGTTCCTAGATTTATTTTTTTATTTTACATTTTAAAAATATAAATTATGTCTAATATATTTTCTGCTAAATTGAGTGAAAAGCATTTTTTACTCATCCCTCATATTATAATAATCTGGCATCTTTGTGACTAGTGTGATCACTTTTTACTGTTTCTGTGCGTGTCTTTTTTTTAAGGATCGCAACAACGCAAGGCAAATCCACGAGGGCGCGAGTTTACCCTTTTTTGAAGTATTTGTTGATGCTCCTCTGCATGTTTGTGAACAAAGGGATGTCAAAGGACTCTACAAAAAAGCACGGGCAGGAGAAATTAAAGGTCAGTAACGTTTCGTTCCCTGTTTGTCTTAGCTTAGGTACTTTATCTTTCCTATGTGGGACTGATAACCTTCCCTGAGAGAGTGGGAGTGTTTAAGTGACTTGGAGTGTATGAAAAGAGAAAGTTGAGTTTTATTACACCATTCTATTCCATAGGCTTGGTAGCACCTAGTATTGGGCATTAAATGAGTATTGTTGGTCATGTTGGAATCCTACTCAGCACGACAGAGTTGGGACTTGGGTGGTTGGAGAAAACCTACTTGATAGAATTAGGTGCTTATCATTAGGTTAGGTATCAGGTGCCAGCTGCCACGGTCCCCACAATTGCATTGAAAGTGTAGGGCAGGCGTCCTCAAACTATGCCCGTGGGCCACATGCAGCCCACCTAGGACATTTATCCGGCCTGCCAGGTGTTTTTGCTGCCACTGCCTGTCCTGCTTGGCAGCTGACTCGTCCCGGGGCCCGCAGTCTGGCCTTCCAATGGTCTGAGGGACAGTGAACTTGCCCCCTGTTTAAAAAGTTTGAGGACCCCTGGTAGGGAGTCCTAGAGCTACTGGGAAAAATACCTGAATTATAAGCATCCTAATACCAAGGATCATGTTTTGTTCTTGCTTGTAGTGCTGGGAACGGTCTCTTATTCATTCCATAGGAGGGGCGATTTGGTGATAGAATTCTGCCTTAGTCATTCCATGTATGATTGTTGAATTAGATTGAATTAATATAGAGATTAAAAGTATTTACATGTGGGGGCGGCACCTGTGGCTCAGTGAGTAGGGCGTAGCAGGTTCGAACCGCCTTGGCTGAACTGCAAGAACAACAACAACAGAAGTATTTACAAGTGGATACATGTAGGTTACACAAAATACAATGCCATTTTATATAAGGGACTTGAGCATCTGCAGATTTTGGTATTTTCAGGGAGTCCTGGAACCAATCCCCACAGCTGCTGAGGGGAATAACAGTACACGTTGCTTTTTATGTTTTGTGGTTTCAGCTTTGATGCACATTTAGTCCTTGAAGGAGAAATTTCTACCATATCTCTGCTGTGGCCTTTGATACAGATTATATTATTTATCTTGTAGGTATCTTTTGATATTAGTTTTGTTATTAACAAAAACAGAGGACATGCTGGCATTAAAAGATAAAGGTCCACAGAATTGTTTAGGGATCAGTGATTCATGCAGGTAACTTTTGTTTGCCTTCCTAAAAGTGGCTGTGATAGCCTGGGATTATTTCAGGAACTCTCAGGAGCTCTGAGTTACAGCTTTGGACATTCAGCTTCTGGCACTAAAAAGGAAAAAGTTCAATGGGAAGGAAAATGCTTGTTATTCTGAGTTTTTCTGTATTTGGACCTGGGACACTTTAGCAGTTGAGGCCAGTTCTACCTGCCATGGTCATGTGCAATTCCAAGGTCAGGGCTGATATCCAGTCATTCTGCCATGGAGACCCAGCCCCTGGATGAGGGCTACTTCCTGTCACTCCTTTGACCTGGTAAGCTGGCACCTTCTTAGAAGGAACAGTCTGCCACTGTTAGAAGGAACACTATGACAATGGGAAGGAAACAGTTTTAGCCCTTCAACTTATGTTTCATGCTCTGTTGATAGGCAGTTTTCTTTTTTCTTTTTTGAGACAGTCTCACTCAGTTGCCCTGGGGTTGAGTGCTGTGGTGTCATAGCTTATAGCAACCTCAAACTCTTGGGCTCAAGCAATCTTCTTGTCTCAGCCTCCCAAGTAGTTGGGACTACAGGTGCCTGCCACCACGCCTGGCTAGTTTTTCTGTTTGTAGAGATGAGTGTCTCGTTTTGCTCAGGCTGCTGTGGAACTCCTAAGCTCAGGCAATCCACCTGCCTTGGCCTTCCAGAGTGGTAGGATTACAGATGTGAACCACTGTGCCTGTCTGGATAGGCAGTTTCCACTTTTCGTCTATTTATGTAGAAATTTGGCATAGAAAAGCAAAATGGTATGTCCAGGATCTTTTTCTTATTTTAATTGTACTTTTACAAGGATTGATTGGTTGGTAAAGGAGATAGATTTGTCTGTCTGCTGGAGTAAGCTACTTCTGAGCAGGAATGTCTTGAGCGTTTTTCTATCATTAGAATTTAGCACAGTCGAGTGGCACCTGTTGCTCAGTGAGTAGGGCACTGGCCCCATATACCGAAGGGTGGCATGTTCGAACCCAACCCTGGCCAAACTCAAACAAAAAAATAGCCAGTCGTTGTGGCAGGCACCTGTTGTCCCAGCTGCTTGAGAGGCTGAGGCAAGAGAATTGCCTAAGCCCAAGAGCTGGAGGTTGCTCTGAGCTGTGATGCTACAGTACTCTACCGAGGGCAGCAAAGTGAGACTCTGTCTCTTAAAAAAAAAAAGAATTTAGCACAGTGCATGGCCCAAACCATATGCCCATCACACCACACACATAGTAAATGCCTGTGGGATGGATGACAAGGTGGAGTGGGAATGGGGTGTTTGGTACACATTTAGCAATGCTTGCTGTGTGCAAGGTGTATGTTTGGTGTTAAAAATAGAAAGATGAATGAGGCCACATCCAGAATGCCCTTGAATTGCTTTCAGTTTGTAAGTGGGAGGGTGTTTATTTTAGTCTAGATTCTTGTTTACTTCCATAGATGTTGGCTACATTCCCCCAAGTAGATGTTGATAAAATGTTCCTTATGTAGGAACTTATAGAGTTGTTTATTTTTTAAAAGAATCTTTTACTTATTGTCAAAATGGTGCTTAACAAGTTCCCTATCTGTGTTATTTCAAAGCCTGGTGATCATTTGAGATAGACAAGATTGCAAACATCCGAGGTTCTCACGCTTTATTTAGACCTTTATATGACATCTACTAGGCAGAAGATTTATCCCTGTATCAGCCATTCTGATATCAAGATTCTTTTCTAGGAAAAAAGAACAAAAAAAAAAAAAAAGAAAAAAATTAAAAAAAAGATTCTTTTCTTTTTTTTTTGAGACAGAGCCTCAAAGCTGTCACCCTGGGTAGAGTGCTATGGCATCACAGCTCACAGCAACTTCAAACTCTTGGGTTTAAGTGATTTTCTTGCCTCAGCCTCCCAAGTAGCTGGGACTATAGGCACCTGCCATAATGCCCAGCTAGTTTTTGGTTGTAGTTGTCATTGTTGTTTGGTAGGCCCAGGCAGGATTCTAACCTACCAGCTCTGGTGTATGTGGCTAGCACCTTAGCCGCTTGAGCTACAGGCACCAAGCCAAAATTATTTTCGTATTTACTACTCAAGAAGTTATTTATTATCCCCTTATTTATTTATTTTTTTTTTTGCGGGGGCTAGGTTTGAACTCGCCACCTCTGGCATATTAGGCTGGCACCCTACTCCTTTGAGCCACAGGCGCTGCCTTAATTATCACCTTAAATATTAATTTTTTATGGTCTAAATTTATTATACATTTATTAGGTAGGGGGAGAATGGTGGTTCAGCCAACTTATCTTAAGCCAGTGGTTGTCAAGTTGCTACACGTTATTGTTTCCTTGAAACTTTAAAAAAATCCAGGATCGCAGCTGTGCCCCAAGCCCATGAAATCAGAATCTCATGGGATGGGACCCAGTGATTCTAGGGTGCTGCTGCATTGGAGAATCAGAGCTTAACAACTAGTGTTCTAACCTGAATTATTTTTTTTCCCCAGCAGTATTTTATTGTGACCTACTGCTAAATACCATTGAGGGTATCGGTCATGCAGAAATTTCTTCTTGAGTTCAGGACTCCAAGGTGATGCTTAGAAATATGAAATACAAAGAAATGAAATAAGCAGGCTATAAGCTTATGGTACATATTTTAGAACTCTTTGGTTAACTGTACTTCTTAATCAAAATGTTTTTTTTTTTTTAAATTTTAGAGTAATCTGAGGGTACAATGATTAGGTTACATTGTTTGCACTAGGTAGAGTCCAAGATGTAGCTGTGTCCCCCACTCATATAGCTTTACATTGTGCCCAGTAGGTGGGAACACACCAATCCCCCTACCTTTTCCCTCCTCCTCCCTCCCAGTAAAAATAATTTTAAATTCATGTTTACTGTTCTAACGCAGGAATAACCTAAGCTCCACAAGCAGGCAGGCCTTGAACAACTTACTTATAGGGTAATTCAGGAGTATAAAATGGGAATAGTGTATCTTTGGCCCAGCTAGCCCATTTTGGGCAAATGTGTATTTGTTCTTTTCTTGACGGTAACATGGTAACGTGTATACAATAGGGAAACTAAATAGTGGTTATTATCTAAATTGATTGTATTTGCTTGTGTATTTTATTAGGTAACTTAACGGGCTCACCATCCTTGTTTATGTTTTGCTTAAGCAAATAGTAGTTTGTCTGACTGGCCGAACTTGCTGTCCATGGCAGAAGGCGCCTACCAAGCTTCTGTCTGGCCACAGATAATCCTAACACGCGTCTTTCCCCAGATGAACTCAGTGTTGACTGAGAGTAACAAAAGCCTTGTCAAGTTGGTTTTATGCCCAGGGCGCAGGTACTGTGGCCTTTGTTCCTGTGGAGTAATCCAGATGCTCTGGATTACCTTGTATCAATTATTTATTCACAGGCAGTTACTTAAGAGGGAAATGGTGACAGAAGTGGTGGATTTGACTTTGATTATTTGTGGATCCCACATCTGTGGATTTGACTCCTTGCTAACAGTTATTTGTAACCGCCAAATCAACACTCCTGGCACCTTTGTGGCTACGAGCAGGGCGGTGAAAATGAGAGTCACCTGGCACACCTGCTGGCTCCCGGCTGAAGTCAACACGGTGACTTCTTGTCCCCCCCCCACCCCCGGCTCATACTGTAAACAGGTGTCCTTTTGCAGACTATTTAGTGCCATGTTTTTTGCATATTTATGATTTTGGGGGGTGATACTGCTATTTCAAATGGCCCCCTCATATTTCCAAGGACAAGAAGGCTAAGATGTGCCTTATGAGGAAAGACGTGTGTTAGGGAAGCTTCATTCAGGCTTGAGGTAGAGCACCCATGAGTTCAGTGTTAGTGGCTCGACAGTATATGTTAAATAAAGTGTCTTTAAGTGGAGACACACATAAAACAAAGTGAAAGAGTGAATCGGTTAACACAAATGCTACGACCAGAGGTTTGCAGATACCTAACCTCATATTTCAGCTAGGAGCAGTTACTTGGTAATTGCTAATTTAGTGTTGGTGGCAAATTTATTGAACATGACTACTGTGAGTAATGAGAATGAACTATACGCGTTTAAGGAAGAAACACAAATTTAATTAGAAATCCTCTCCCAAGAAAGACGTTTCCGTAAGCTTAGAGGAGACAGCGCAGATATTAACTTTGTAATACACAGCAGAGATCCGCACTGAAGAAGTAAAACCATTTTAATTTCCTACCCCCCTCAATTACCTGGTACCTTTTACAGGTTTCACTGGGATTGATTCTGAATATGAAAAACCAGAGGCCCCTGAATTGGTGCTGAAAACAGACTCCTGTGATGTAAATGACTGTGTCCAGCAGGTTGTGGAACTTCTACAGGAACGGGTAAGAGCAGATGAGAGGAGAACTCATCAAGAGAAGAATTATGTCCCTCTCATAACCTTTCTCCTATTAAAAAAGTGGTGGCATTAATATTGAGTAATGTTTGTATTTTAACTTCTTTACGGTGCCAGCAGTTTTCTTGTACGTGTATGGTGCCTTAGGTGTTGTGAGGAGTGCCTCCTACGCACATGTGAAATATCTCAATCAACATAAACCTCCGGAGCTTTAGGAGTCAGTCTCTTACTTTATCAGTCATTTTACCACAGAGCTGCCCAGTAGAGAGAAATCCAGCCATGATTATTCAGTCTATCATTTAGTATTACTTTTTGCAAGTTGAGGTTTCTAAGGTAGCTAACTTTTTCTGGACGTTAGAGACTGTCCACATATTCTGTGTGACAACATGATTATATGCTTACAGTTGGACTCCAGAGGGATCCTGTGGAGGGAATGATTCTAGGACATAAAAACCTCTCTCTGGTTCTTGGACATAAGGAAGCCAAAGAGGCTTGATGTTCTCCAAGGTACTTATGCTCAAAAACAGGTACATGGTTCTTTCAGACCAATCTGAGTTTCTAGAAGTTATTTTTCCACTCTTCCCTTAAACCACTAGGCCTGAATATATTATAAATGTTTAGCTTTTGAATTTTTCTACCTACCTGAAGTTAGTCTGAAGCTTTCCCTCCTATTTTTCTTATCCAAAAGCTAAATGAGTAGAAATACTATGAATTATACTGCTGTGATGCTTTTCTTTGAATGTACTGTTGCACTTCTGCAGGTCAATGAGACATCATCCCAGGAGGTTTTGGGCTTCATCTTTCTGCTTTCTAGGTTTCTTCCTGACTGACTTCTGTGCTCTTGCCCTCACCCTGTTCTGCTTCTGGCTTCCTTCTCATCTCTCCAGAGTGGCCCTGACATTTGTTCTCTCATCACCCATCATCACCCACATGTTTATTAAAACCCGCTGCTGTAGTCAGTCACAGTCCTGGGTACTAGCTGTGCGAAGATTTCTTAGCTGTGTTTCCATCCTCGAGGGTGATAGAAATAAGAGTGTTGAACTCCTAGGAAGAGCGTTAGAAGCCATGATTTCAGCTTGACCATTGCATACTGACAGGCACAGAGGGAGCAGTTTGGAAGACCTTTATTTATATCAAATCTTTCTTATCTGTTTGTTCATTTCCAAAAGATACTTTTTTCTGGACATAGAATTCTGGGTTAACAGGTTTTTTTTCTTTCACTAAACTTTAAAGATGTTGCTCAATGGTCCTTTCAGTCATTCCATTTCTGATGAGAGGTCTGATGTAATTCTTTCCTCTCTCTATATATTTTTTTGCCTATTTGAATTGAATTCAGGATTTTCTGGTACTCCTTGGTTTTTAGTGGTTTTGGTATGATGAATCTAGGTCTTTGAGCATATTGGGCCTTTTTTCTTCTACTTTTAGAGGGTTGATGGTTTGTTCTTCCATTAGTTTGTGGAAACTCATGACCATTACCTCTTTAAATCATTCTTTTTGCCTCTTCTCCCTCCTTATGGGACTCAAGTTACACATGTTAAACAGTGTGATATTGTCCCATAGTTTTTTCATTCTTTTTCTGTTAATGTTTTGGCTTTGATAAATACTAGTTATATAAGTTTGGTGTTTCCTCATGTGTATCTAATATATTGATATGCTCATAGAAGGTTTTTTTTTGAGACAGAGTGTTATTATTTTACCCTCGGTAGAGTGCTGTGACATCACAGCTCACAGCAACCTCAGACTTTTTGGGCTTAAGCAATTCTCTTGCTTCAGCCTCCCAAATAGCTGGGGACTACAGGCACCTGCCATAACAGCCAGCTATTTTTTTTTTTTTTTTTAGAGACAGAGTCTCACTTTATTGCCCTTGGTAGAGTGCTGTGGCATCACAGCTCACAGCAACCTCCAACTCCTGGGCTTAGGTGATTCTCTTGCCTCAGCCTCCCAAGTAGTTGGGACTACAGATGCCCACCACAACACCTGGCTATTTTTTCATTGTAGTTTGGCTTGGCCGGGTTTGAACCTGCCACCCTTGTTTTATGGGGCCAGAGCCCCACCCGCTGAGCCACAGGTGCCACCCTATTTTTTTTGTGTTGTTGTTGTCATTGTCATTTTAGCTGCTCCATGTTGGATTCCAACCTACCAGCCTTGGGGTATGTGGCTGGTGCTGTAACTAATGTGCTATGGGCACTTACCCAGAATTTTTAAATTTTGATAATTATTTACAAATCTGTCATAATTTGGATCTCTGTTGAAATTCTCAGTCTATTCATGCATGGTGCTCAAGTTTTCATTAGATTCTTTAAGATGTTATTCATAGTTATTTTAAAATCCAGCCTGATGGTTTGAACATCTTTGTTATTTCAAGATCTGGTTTTGTTGGCTGCGTTATCTCCTGCCAGTGGCTGGTTTTGCTGGCTTTTTGGGTGTATCTTTTATTATTATTGAAAGCTAGACATTGTTTAGATATACAGTAGAGATTAAGGCACAGTATTTGTGCCATGGGCATATCTCTTTTTGTCTTGTTGTTAGTGTAGTGGGTTGAAATCGTAGCTAGTGCTCAGTAAGTTCTTGTCCTACACTTAACTCCCCATTCATCATAGGCTTCAGATTTCTGTAGTGACGGCTGTCTGCTCCATGCTTGTTACAGGCCTGGCCTCCCTGTGTGCTGGGCCATGGATGTCTGTCCACGCTGCTCCTTTTAGCAGCACACTGCATCCTTCTCACTTAGGAGCGCTGGGCTTACCCCAGGGCAGTGGTGGTCGTGGTTCTTTGTTTTCTGGCCTAGCTTTGGTCTTAGGCAGGACTCATGCTCTTGAGTCTTGAGGTGAGTTTTTCCCAGTGTATCTTCCCTTCCCTGCATGACCCCTAACTGCTGCTGTGACCCTGCGGTTTGGAGGGTGGGTCTCCTGTTCCTCGCTTGCATTAGCATGTTTTGTATCTGTTTTTGTACTTGATTTGTAAGTGTGCAGGATACCGGACCCCAGAGCATTTCCCCTACCTCCTTGCTTTGGGCAGACCATATTTGCTTCTACATCTCTCCCAGAAATGGTGGCTCCTGGGAGGGTTTCCTGCCCTTGTCCAAGCTTAAGGCTTTTGTGGATATGAAAGAAGGGCCTGTGCACCACTAAGGCAGCCCCGCTTTTTAGTTGCCTTCCTGAGTACCTGTTGTAAGCCTGCTTGTGAGTGAGTGCAGGACACCTGGTGTGTTGGGCTCCCTGTTACACTAGCCTGTCATGCTAGTCCGCCCTTACTCAGCATTTAAGTGATTTTTTTTTTTTTAAAGCTGTTTTCTTACCTCCTTTTCTTCTGGCTACCTCTGCCTGCCATGTTCTACTAAAGGGAAACAGTTCTTTGTTTCATCTTTTCTTTGTGGGACTTCTCAGTCTTTCGAAGCAGTTCATCTCCCTGCTTTAGGACCTCAGCTCTGATGGGCTCAAGAAAGTTCGTGATTGTACATAAGCTGGCCTTTTCACTTGTTAGGTGATGCCGTCCTGCAGAACCTGTGTGTATCATTTCCTGTGAATTCTCTATTCCTACTCTTTTACTCTGTTGGTGTTTTTATAGATTTCTTAAAAATACTGTATAAGATTCTTTTTTGTAGACAGAGACTTTCTATGTTCTTTTTGTTTAAGCTATGATTTCAATATTTTTTCCTTTTCATTTTGATTGTAGTTTTGTTTGCATTTTTTGTCCACTGAACCTGTCATTTTTTTGTAAATTGACATTTGTTGTATCAACTTTAGGAAAAATACAGTTAGCTCTCTGTATCTGTGGATTCTGTAAAGAATACAGTATCACAGCTATTTCCATAGCATTTATATTGCATTAGGTATTGCAAACAATCTAATGGTGATTTAAAGTATACAGGAGAATGTGTATAGGCTGTATGCAAATACTGTGCCGTTTTATGTCAGAGTCCTGAGAATCTATGGATGTTTATATCCTTGGGTTGGGGGGAATCCTGAAACCATTCCTTCATGGATACCAAGAGGTGACTGTGAACAGTGTGATTTTGTTTTGATTATTTTTATATCTAATTAGTGCTTCTTAAGTATTTTCTAAAATCCTAGAAACATGGGATTTTCTAAACTTTATACAATCTTGTAAAGTTTATGAATCTCTGACTGTAGATAATTCCAGATAGTTGGGACATTTATAAGGGGTTATTTTATTTTATTTTTTTGAGACAGAGCCTCAAGCTGTTCCCCTGGGTAGAGTGCTGTGGCATCACAGCTCATAGCAACCTCCAACTCCTGGGCTCAAG